ACTGAAATTACAAATGGCACAAAACTCATTGATATTTAAACTTAATATATTAAACTTACTAAGCTGGCTGACCAGTTTTTAGTTTTGTTTTTTCAAATGCCTAATTTTGTATTTTTTATTGTTATTTAAGAAAAAAGAAATGGCTTTCATATTTTCATCATAAGTTGACAAGTCAGGTAATGAATGAAATTTATCGGATTTCCAAAAGATTCTATAATAATGACTAGAATTATGATTTCTCTGGTATACTGTAGTGAGTATTACAGTTAGGCTGTATCTCGTGATGTGTGTGAAAGAACTGATAGTTAAAAAACCAGTATCCCTTCACTTTAATGAAAACACAGGCAACCATGAAGTTAAACACAAAGTGTACGTAAGGGTTAAACTCTCCTCTGTCTTAAAGTTTTCCTAATACTGGTTTCTAGATTCAAAGATCAGGAAATGCCTTGCTTCACAGGCCTTACACAGAGACTCTGAAGTGGAACTTCTCCATCACAAGAGCCAGGGAATGGGCCAGAACAGGGCCAGCCATCACGGCCAGCCCCTCAGGGCCAACTTTAGCCAAACTGCCACCACGTGAGGCCAGGCAGACAGACTGATGGAGGAGATTAGGAATTACTTTTGCTGATAAGAAGACTTCATTTTCCTAGCCACAGGCATTTTCTTCTTAAAAAATTTGATGACAAGTAGTGTTTGTTAATATCACACAAATAAATTTATCACACAAATATATATATAACAAATATATATATTTATATATAGAGAGAGAACAAATATATTTATATCACACCAATAAAATACACGATTGGCCTTCAGTAGAAAGGCCCAGACCAAAATAATTTCAGAATAACTAACAAATTAAATGTAAAAATATCTGAGCATGTTTCAGGGCAGTATTACGCAAACATAAATACAAAGATAAACATAGAAATTAATGATTAATTTAATATAAAAATGTTGAAATTCAGAATGCCAAACATCCAACAATGGGACAGGAGTTGTTTTCTAATGACTCAGAATTTTCCACGAAAACGGTGCAGTGTCCCTCCAGTGCTTTGGAAGGGCCCGTGCAAGCAAGGGCTGTGTGGTCCCAGCTTCATTAGCTTTGTGGCATGTCCATCTCTGATCAAAACGACCTTGGTTTGGGGACCCTGAAGCCTTCTCAAGAGTGGGAAGTGTTTTATAAAAAGCCCTGCAAAGAACTAAAGTGTTTCCATCAAGTCTTCGAGAAAACTGTGGAAGACAGGCCGTTTTTTAAACGATTGGTAATTCTTAATATTGTTTTGGACCACTACCTGTATTTCCATAAAGTTGAAGACAGTAAGCAGGTTGGAAACAGTCAGCTCTATGCTCTAAAGAAAAGTGGATTTATTAAAAGGGAAGCTCTTGTGCTCCATGGTAGGGAATGTGCTTTGAGGAAAATCTTTCAAAGTTGAGGAACTTGGATTTGGGGAACATGACAATCAGAAGAACAGACGGAGACCAGTGTTGTGCAGAGGGCGAAGGGACGGATGCTTCGAGTCACACCTCCTGACCTTATACTCTCTGTCTTCCTTATGTACATTACTTATGGTCTCAGTGCATCAGCTTTCTTATTTGTAAAGTGGGGACAGTAAAGAACAATTGAGCCATGACGACAGGGAAGAAAATAAATCCATACTACTCATAGGCAAACCTGAACAGCTACGTACTGTACGAGTCCAACCTTAAAACACTCTAGAAAAGAAAACCCGTGTAGACAGTAAAACACTCAGTAGTTGCTGAGTAGGGCGGGAGGCAGAGGTGAATAGGCGGAGGACTGAGGACTTGTAGGGCAAGAAAGATACTCTGTACAGTACCACAGTGGTGGATACATGCCATTACACATTTCTCCAAACCCGTAGAATATATGGCACAGGGAGGAAACCCTAAGGTAAACTACGGCCTCTTGGTCATAACGATATGACTGATCAGTTGTAACCGATGTACCATTCTGCAGAGGAGGTGGACGATGGGGCAGGGGGCACGCAGGAAATCTCTTTCCTTTCTGCTCCGTTTTGCTGTGAGCAGAAGTACACTCAAAAATAAATTGTTATAGAGAAAAGGAATTGTAGAACGGATGTTGGTGGTGGCTGCATGCCACTGTGACTGTTCTTTACACCACCAAATTGTACACTCAGAAATGACTCCAATGATAGACTTTGCATTATTTATTTTAATATTCCCATAAGTTAAAAATTCCAGTTGCTTCGGAAGAAAAGATGAACCATATAAAGGGAGAGAATATTCTACAACATATATCTGATAAAGGACTTGTACCCAAATATGCAAATAACTCTTAAAACTCAACAATATAAAAGCAACCCAATTAAAAAATCAACAAAAGATCTGAACAAACACTTCACCAAAGAAAAATATAAATATAGCCAATAAAAGCTGAGGATATGCTCAGTATTATCAGTCATTGAAGAAATACAAATCAGAACAATGATGATATGCCACTTCACACCTGCCACAATTGCTATCGCTAAAAAGACAGACACTAACAATTGTTGTAGAGGATATGGAGAAATTGAAATTCTTGTACATTGCTGATAGAATTTTAAGTTCCAGCCAGTTTGGAAGACAATCTGGCAGTTCTTCAACATGTTAAATGTAGTTACTCAGACTCAGCAATTCCACTACTAGGTGTGTAACCAAGAGATGTGAAAAGATGTATCAACACAAAATCATGTACACAAATGCCCGTAACAACATTATTCGTAATCGTGAAAAAATGGACTCAACCAAAATGTCTATCAACAGATGAGTGAATAAACAAAATATGGTATATCTGTACAATAAAATATTATTTGAGGCTGGGTGTGGTGGCTCATGCCTATAATCCTGGTATTTTGGGAGGCTGAGGCGGGCAAATCACAAGGTCAGCAGTTTGAGACCACCCTGATCAACATGGTGAAATCCCGTCTCTACTAAAAATACAAAAAATTAGCTGGGCATGGTGGCAGACACCTGTAATCCCTGCTACTTAGGAGGTTGAGGCAGGAGAATTCCTTGAACCGGGTAGGCAGAGGTTGCAGTGAGCTAAGATCACACCACTGCACTCCAGCCTGGGCGACAGAGCAAGACTCCACCTCAGGAAAAAAATAAATAAATAAAAAATAAAAAATAAATATATATATATATATATATGTGTGTGTGTGTGTGTGTGTGTGTGTGTAATTTGACGGTAAATAAGAATGGAATACTGATATGTGCTTGAATAGGAGTGAATCTTGAACACATTATGCTAAGTTAAAGAAGCTATTTACAGAAGCTCACATATTGTATGATTCCGTTTATATAAAACATCCAGAATAGACCAAACTGTGTGACAGACAATATGTAAGGGAGTGCCTAGGACTAGGCGAGACGGGTAGTGGGTGTGGGAGGGAAAGGGGGGAAAATGGGAATGACCGAGACTCCTTGGTCAGGTTATTTTGGTCATTTTGGTGATAAAATATTATAAAATTAGATTAGGGTAATGGTTCCACCATTCAGAGACTATGTGAAAAACCCCTGATTTGGACACATGAACTGTGTGAATTTTATGTATGTGTATTATATCTCAAATAAAGGTAATTTAAAAACAAAGTTAAAAAGGAAGAATGATAACATAGAGCAACTTTTGTAATGATGACAGCTTCACGCGGTTAGAAAGCAGTTAGACCAAGTGCAGTGTTTGATTCCTTCATAGAAATGCTTCAGACTGGCCCCGAGTACCTTGAGCTTAGCATTTTCAGGTTCGGGCAGAGCATGTGTGCCTGCTGTGCTGACAGTCATTTCACCAGACAACCCACAGTCAGAAAGCGGGGCGTGCCTCGGCTTCACTTCAGTCTTCCCATGATGGAGCCAAGCCAGCAATGTCAGGCAGGAAGGGAAAAAAAAATCAAGAAGGCAGATTGCCTTTAAGAATTTTGCAAACTGATGTAAATGTTTAATCAGCACATTTCAACCACTTTATTAATATGTTTGCAGACATATGTGTGCGCTAAGACGGTGCGTTTAGCATGTGGGATAACTCATCAAGATGGTGCATATGTTTCTTTCAGAGTCTCGCAATCCGTGTCCGTAGGAATCAGTGAAGGCCGAGGATGCCAGAGCTGCCGTGCGTTGCCAGTGACACAAGGCCTTAGACTTGTTCTTGAGAGTGGGATGTGCCCTGTGGGGCAGACACAGCTGCAGAGCCTGCAGATTGGGCAGCACAAAGAGAGCAGGTGCACAGGTCACAGAGCTCCAGCTGACGGGACGGTGTTGTCCCAAGCATCAGAAGTGGGGATTCAGGAGTGTAGATGCAGACAGAAAAGCAGGCATCTGGGAAAATCCCCGGTTCCAGCTCAGGGAGCCAGGGAGCCCTGGTGACAGCACTCACAGGAGTGAGGCAGAGCACCTGCCTGATGTCATGATCTAGGCAGGGGCCAACTGGGCCCCAGGCAGCAGAAACGCCAGGCTCACACGCTCTGGAGTAACTAACCACATGAGAAGGGGTCCCTGAAGCAGGTCAACATAGGAGGAAGGGTCTGTCGAATCTATCAAATCAGCGATTACCTTCCTGAGTTCCTCTTCCCTGAGATCTCGATGGACTGCACTGTGGGGAAGGGTGGAAGGTGTGTGGGTGTGGGCTTCATAGTTAGGTCTGCACGAGAGTGCTCCGAGCCTGGGAGCTGTTGACAGGCACCTCCACTGCTTCAAGGGCCACTGCAGCTGCAGCTCCCTGAGGTTAAAGAGAGGAAGACATCACTCCCGGTGTGTTGTCAGTGGTCAGGCCTCTGCTGGGGAGCGCCTGGCCATTTGTGAGGCTCTGCAGCAGGATTCGGTGGCATTTTGCCATTCATTTGTCCAGTTTCTGTGTCTCGGAGGAAAGTTTAGGGAGCACACGTGGTCTAAAAGTTTAACTCCTACTAATTGATCAGAATTATAATTTTGACTTATGATTTATACATGTGTACCTTCAAGGGTTAATGTTTGTTCTGTATTTTTAGATGGCTATCCCAAAGAAGAAATGATTTATAGATGGAGAAAAAATTCAGTGGAGGCAGCTGACCAGAAATCATGGCGGCTTTATCAGTTTGACTTCATGGGCCTCAGAAACACCACAGAAATCGTGACAACGTCTGCAGGTAGGAATTTACTGAAAGAAGCATAGATCTCAAAAGCCAGAGAGGTCTAAGGCCATCTGTAATCATATCCTTAAAGTGCAAGCCTTTTGGGCAACCATGATACATAAATGATATTTGAGACAGAACAAATAATTCAAAGTGAAAACATGTTTTAATGTTTTAATTGGTATGGGAGAGGGATGGTTAGAATTACTTTGCATTTTGGAATCCAGGCCATGTTTGCATAATGTCTATAAACCTGGTTATAAACTTAACCTAACTCACTACTGACCGTATGTATACAAACCAATTTTGCTGGTGGGGAGAGTTCTGCAAATTTCCACATACCTAAGAAGAATCAGATATGACTGAGAATCCACACATAAAAGAAGGTGGTGTGACCTGTCCTTTAATTCCTTTTACTTACTCTAAGTTTTATCTTTAACTTTGAGTTTCTTTCTCAATGATTGAGCACAGTAATTACCTACCAATTTGATTTTATCAAATGTTCATGATATGCGTATTCAAAATCCTGTAATTACCTAGTTGTGCTGCCTGTGACTGTATCTGAGTGTGTTTTGTTTTGCTTTTTGTCCCATGTGTTACGCCGTTGTCTTTTTTGGTTTTGGTGTTTCATTATTCCCAGGGTCCTCTATTTTGCAACTGATTTTCTTTTGGCCGAGTGTGGGGTGCAGCTGAAGGCAGGGCCAGCTTTTCTACTGATCGTATTGTTTGTTGGTACGAAGAATGTGTTGGCTCTTAAAATTCTCCAGTAATTTATTTTATTGGTTACTAGATTAAGATTTCAGTTTTGAGAATTAATGGTAAATATCTTTAAAGTCCAGTCTTAATTATTGGCACAACTCTCTTGGACAGGTGGTCTCAAATTCCTGACCTTAGGTGATCCACCTGCCTGGGACTCCCAGAGTGCTGGGATTATAGATGTGAGCCACCACACCTGGCCAGAGACTTTTTGTTATCTCTTCTATATATCTGTATCTATCTACCAGTCGCAGTAAGAAGCAAACCTACTAAGTTATTTTATTGTGATAAATTATCTGTAGGCATTCCATCACTGAGAGTAGCCTGCAGTGAATTCAAGGAAGTATACTTTGGAATGATCAGAAATAGGCCGATGACAGGACATTCAGCTTTGGTTTCCAATAAATGTTATGAATTCAAAAGAAGTTAAATATATATGGATATACATACATGTGTGAATTGATACACACACACATATTTATACATCAAGAAAAGTCCTGAAAAAGCTACTTCATTAAGGGAGAAAAGCAAAAGATTCTCTGTGGGTGTCATGGTGGAAAGGTTCAGAAATGGATCTGTGTTTGAATACGGAACGATGACAGTGTTAAATAATGGAATGCCACAATTTATTTCAAGGAGCTGTGGAAGCAGCACGAAGGGAAACGTTGTGGGAGCCTTGCCCCCAATTAACAGGCAGCCACGCTGCTCATGTAATTCCCTGCCTGAGAGGCTGCCATGCGACAGCAGACCTTTGGGGTCTAAGGTTGCCTGAAGCGGGTTACCGAGCCACAGGGAGGCCTGCTCTAGCATCTAAATTCCAAAGGCCACTGCTTCTCCTTTCCTGGTGTTCTCAGAACACAAGGCGATGCAAAGTGAAGCTGAACCCAACTAGCTCAGGGGGTTTAGAAATTGATTGCAAGCAAATACTAGCTCAGGAAAGTGCCAGATAGAAGGAGACAACAGATTTGAAGAGACTGTGGAGCAATTCCTGCACTAGGTGTTACTGTGGCGCTTAAAGAAATTATAATCGATCCCTAAATTCATATTTTTAAAAAGTTTTACAACCATATTCACTCATTTGTATAATTACACTTGTAAGGAAAACATCCTTTGGATAATAAAAAATTCCCATTTCATATGCACTTACGGGAGCGTGGTCCTGGAGCCCACACGCAGTCATGCCCTGCCGGAAGCTTCTGGAAGCTGGGGGGTGTTGTCGCCTGTGTGCTTTTCAGGCCATATCCAGCATCAATTCAGGTGTCAGTGGTTTGCTGTTTAACAGATATTCATGCAACATCATCGCTTGCTCAGTGTGATTGGCATTTTCACAATGTGGAGGATTGGCCATGGGGCTGTGATGGCATTTTAAAGGATCCCTCTCAGATAAATGCCTTTTTATAGACAAATGTTATTCCTTCTTTTCCAATCTCCTAACTCAAAATTATGACTGTGGCAATAACACACTTAAATATTCTTTTTTTTTTTCCCAAGAAGACCAAAGCTTTTGCAACACTGTCTACTTTGTTCTCACAAGTCATTGTAAAGTTTGAAGAGGATGGATACGATGGTGCCGGGTTTTCAAGCCTATGTAAATGCTTCTACCAGGGAACTTATTTGTGAAAAGGAAACACTTTGGGAAAGCTCAGAGTCAGGAGAGCGGGACGTGCAGCCTGCAGGTGCATTGCCAAGTCCGGGTCCTGGGAGGTGGTCTGTGTCCGTTGTCACCACCCACCATCCTCTCACTGTGGCCACACTGACCCCACCACCCTTTGGGAACAGCCCTAAACAGCTGCATTTATTTGACCGGACCCACTTTTCTCTGTTGGGACAACATGAATATCAAAAATATTATTTCTGTCATTCTGAGACTTGGAGGTAATATAATAAATACGTTTATTTAAAATGCACAAGCACCGTTGAAAAACATTAGTCACTGCATCCGTGTCCTGGAGCTGCTTTAACGGTTCTAGCAACTTTGTGGCTTAGACAACAGCAACAGTGTGTTGCCTCTCAGTTCTGGAGGCTGGAAGTCTAAAGTCAGGATGGCAGGCTTGGCCTCTTCCGAGTGCCGTCAGGGAAGGGCCTGCTCCAGCCTCTCTCGTCTGCTGCAGGTGGTATTCTCTCCACGTCCTTCTGTTTTCTTCTCCCTGGAGGTGTCTCTCTCTGTGTCTGCATTTCCTCTTTCTATAGAAACACCAGTCGTACTGGATTCGCCCGGCCTTCCTGGCCTCACCTTACCCATTTTCAAAGACTTTATTTCCAAATAAGGTCCTGCTCACAGGTACTGTGGGTCAGGTTGCAAAGCCTTCGGGTGAATACAATTTAACCCGTGGCAGTAATCCAGAAGGTTTAGCGCGTTGTGAGGAGCAGCCTTTCAATTGCACTGCGAAATGAGAGTCTTCGCCCCAGACGCATCCTTTTCACTTGGACTTCCTAGTGCAGGCGTCCCCAGACTTTTTACACGGGGAGCCAGTTCACTGTCCCTCAGACCGTTGGAGGGCCGCCGCATACTGTGCTCCTCTCGCTGACCACCAATGAAAGAGGTGCCCCTTCCTGAAGTGCGGCGGGGGGCCGGATAAATGGCCTCAGGGGGCCACATGCGGCCCGCGGGCCGTAGTTTGGGGATGCCTGTCCTAGTGAGTCTTCCTCCTCCAGGTGAATCTGATGGTGATGACGTTTGGAAGGCATTGGGCTAGGCCAGTTTAATGAGTACAGCTGGTGGATGGTATAAAAATCACATTCGTATGGGATCACAGCCTAGTCTACTAAGACTTCTGACCAGCACAGCAGGGTGCTTTGTTACGTTACTGATGGTCTTGAACAGTCTCTGTGCCTTCCTCAACTATTCGCCAGGGACAATTGCAGCTGACCTTTTCCTTACATAGCCAAAGGTTACCTTGCATAATTAAAAATAAGAGACTTTTTTTTTTTGAGGTGGAGTTTTGCTCTTGTTACCTACACTGGAGTGCAGGGGCACGATCTCGGCTCACTGCAACCTCCATCTCCCAGGTTCAAGTGCGATTCTCCTGCCTCAGCCTCCTGAGTAGCTGGGATTACAGGTGCCCACCACCACACCCAGCTAATTTTTTGTATTTTTAGTAGAGACAGGGTTTCACCAGGTTGGACGGGCTGGTCTCAAACTCCTGACCTTAGGTGACCCACCCACCTGGGCCTCCCAAAGTGCTGGGATTATAGATGTGATGATAGACCAAATATCCATAAGGCTACACTGAAACAAATAAATGATTGAATAAATAAATACATACACACATGGAAGAACACAGACAAATCCCCATACAGAATTTCACATGGTTTACGTGGATGTTATTCCCTCAAGGAGGTCCAGCATAGCTCCCGCTCTTTAATTGTGCACTGCACGTGGTGACTTTCTTCCAAAGAGCACCGGAGGAGACAGAGGAAGGAGACGTACAGGGGATAGGTCTGGCGAACACCACTGGGCCAGGTGATTGGTGAGGATACACGGTGGTCTTATGTGCCCTGCATATGATGCGATGAAAATCCGCTTGATGAGTGTGGAGAGAAGGTAGCTATGGAAAGTTATTCTCTTGGGTTGCCACGTCAGTGAGATTCAATAATTAAAATACCTATGAGCCATTATCTTAGAGGGGAAGGAAGGAAAGGGAGAGAGACTCTATACTCTAGACATTTTCTGAATTTCCAAACTGTGAAAAGAAGAAGGTGAAGAAAATAAAGGCTCTGAAAAGTAGACTCTATGAGTGAGGGCGAGATAAGGAAAGAGCATCACGGAGGAGGCACCAGTCACGGCGACATGCTACGCTCTCAGCTGGAGCCCCTGGAGTTGTCTGTGCAGCAGGTGCAAACTAGACTGAGACACCTGTCAAAGCACAGCTCCGTCTTCAGTCGCCCCAGCCCCTGACGGTATTAAGGCGATTAGCCTCAATCTTTGGCCTAGAAAAGAGAATGATGAGCCCCCTCTGAAGGGTAACAAATTTTTGTCTTACAGATTTTCATACAAAAAGTGTACTGTTGCCAAACAATCAAAATCCAAAGGAAAAACCGTAGAATATAGAAACAGACCAAGCAAGGACTTGAGAATAAAATAACATGATTAAATAACGTATTTTTTAAAAGAACAGAGGAAAAGATTGATAAATGAAAATATGGATAATTTGACTCAGAAGGAATTTATAAAAAGAAAAACAGCAGACATTTTAAAAAAATTTTCTGAATTTTAATTAATAGTTCAAAAGGTAAAGTTAATAAAAATTATTAAAGGA